AGGGATTTTTAAATAATATCATAAATAAAAAGAAAACATAGAATACAAAAAGAATACAGCAAGCTAGTGTTAGAGGTCTTTTTTGCTTTTGTTAATTGTATAATAAATGAAAAGAAAACAGATAGAAATACAAAAAGATTAGAAAGCAAGTGTTAGCTTTTTTTAAGAATAGAATTAGAATAGAGAGTGCTTAGAGGGTCAAATAAAGATGGAGTTTACAGAGCTGTGTGTGAGCAGGGAGATGAATGAACGGCACAGTGAAATAATCAATTATCACTCTCTTCACCACTGGAACAGGCCCATACATACACTGCAAAAAAATATTCTTAATCAGTATTTTTTCACTTTGTCTTTTATTTCACTTGTTATTTCGATAAAGTAATATCCTCAAAACAAAAAAGTAATCCTTCTAAAAAAGTATCACACCTTCCACAAAAATATTTAATAACACAACTGTTTTCAAAATTGCTAAGACGAAAATCAGCATATTAGAATGATTTCTGAAGGATCATGTGAAACTGAAGACTGGAGTAATGATACTGAAAATTCAGCTTTACCATCACAGGTATAAAATACATTTTAAAATATATTCAAATAGAAAACAGATATTTTAATTTGTAATAATATTTCACAATATTACGTTTTTTCCTGTATTTTGTATCAAATAAATGCAGCTTTGGCGACCTTTAAGAGATATTAAAAAGTCTACACTGAAAGTGTGTGCATGTGTGTGTGTATAATAATACATTTTTTAAATAAAATATTAGGATTATTTTTTTGGGATAATGGGTTGCTTTTCTTACCCACTTTTTTTCTTTTTCTTTTTCTTTTTTATTTCTTTTGTTAATTTTTTTTTCCTTTAAACAATCTGAAAAGACAAAACAGTTTGCCAAAGTGTAAATATGCAATATTGCTTCAAGTAAATATATGTGGTTTTAAGGATATTAAGATATTTTACCAGAAAACTAAAATATGGAGGTTCTGGTGGTTAACCGTGTCAAAAGCAGCGGACAGATCCAGTAAGATAAGAATTGAAGATTTGGAATCCGTTCTTGCCAGTCTCAGGGCTTCAACAACTGAGAGCAAGGCTGTCTCGGTTGAATGTACACTTCTGAAACCAGACTGGTTGCTGTCAAGGAGGATGTTCTGTGTGAGAAAGGCAGAGACTTGGTTGAGCACAACTCGTTCAAGTGTTTTTGCAATGAAAGGAAGAAGAGAAACTGGTCTGTAGTTCTCTAAAAGAGATGGGTTAGGGGTGGGTTTCTTAAGTAGTGGGGTTATACAAGCCTGTCTAAATGTGTTAACGATGTGAGTGAGTGCAGCTACAACTGCAGGAGAAATGGCTTGAAGGAGATGAGATGGAATTGGATCATGCGGACAAGTAGTAGGATGATTAGAAAGAGTGAAGAGAAGGATGTGAATGAGTGTATGTTTGCTAGTAAGATGTGCTTGACAGATTGTGGTGTGGAAA